TTATCAGTATGAATATGTAATTTAATTGCAAGCATAACTGTAAACGGAAAAAAAACACTTCTGAATGACAACATGTATTTGACCTGTGTGTTGTTATTGTTCATGTCTGGGTGTTGCAGACAGGTTCAGAAGGATTTGGTAAACGGTAAAAGGACTGGTTCTTATAGGACTGGTAGATATAACTACTTTATCTGAGCACTCAAAGTAGCTTCCCTCATTAAGAAAAGCATGCTCTTTCTATCTAAAATTCACACCCCGATGGATGTATCGGAGAGCGAATTGAGGTTAGCATCTTGCCAAGGATACTTGGCATGCAGACTGGAATTGAACCACCACCTTTCACGATTTGTAGGTGACCTGCTCTACCACCTGAGCTGCAGCCACTCGTTCCAGTCTGGCACGTGACGCGTCCAACCGGTAGCTTGTCTAATTATGAGTCAACTTTGACTGTTTCCTTTTAATTAACAGTTTCTGCTGCTGACAGCTGATAAGGAAACATTGCTTGGTAACTTGAAAGCGTCGCATTACGAGGCAAATGTGCGTCAATTACCGAAAAGCCCCAACAACAAACAAAAAAACATAAAGTACCAAAAGAGCTCAGCTCACTGCTTACATCCTTATACCTATGATATAAGCTAGCAATGTAGCCGATTCAATATTTAAAAAAAAAAAAAAAAAAAAAAAAACTTGCCTCCTACCCTACACCCTCCTACCGGCTTACTTAAGCCTATTAGCGTTTATATAATCCTCTGACTGTACCTTAAGTATGGTGTGACTTTAATTGTGATGCCGTTCTACTTACATTGTCAAAGAGTGAGCCGACGTTTGCGGTGACAAGCAGCACATCGGTGAACGTTTCCATGTTAACGACGCGAGCAGTCCCGAGGAAACTCCGTAGTAGCAGCAGCAACGTCGCCAGTGATGCTCATGCAGGCCTGCGATCAACTCTGCAGGAGCTTACCGAGGCTTAATGTGTGTGAGTGTCTGAGAGAGAATCTGAGTCGCGACCAGCAGCTATCCCTCACGGACGCTTTCCCGCTTCTGGTCCAAATCGTTTGCTGATAGCGGGCTTCGGTGTCGCACGGTTAACGTACGCCTGCAGAGAGGCGCTCGTCTTCATCTTCGTCGTGGAGTCAGGTAGCAGGTAACAAGTTTGTGTAACTGCCCGCTCAGACGTGTGGATTTCCGCCTCCTCGGGATTAATTGGAGTGGTAGGTTCTTAAGAGGGCTTCTTAAGCAGCCTGGACTGGGCATCTGTTGCTGACAAACCCTCAGAGAGCCTTCTGCAAGCGGGCGGTGTTGCGTTATGAACTCCTGGCGCTCCGCCCATTTGCTCCGATCGCTGCTGGTTTGCTGTATTCAATATAATACAATACAAGTTTATCAGTGATAAGCCAACCAGCACTCAATAATAAAATCACCTGGAGGTAATCTCACAGCATTTGAATGTCACAGAAACCTTTACATACATACATGACTTGCTGTACAAAACAGCTAGCTTTTACCGCAACCACTCCTGAACCACACTAAGCATTACAGTATTACAACAATGATTTGTGAGGTGTTATAACCTAACATGTAATTTATAGACCACATAAAGTTTTTGTTGTTGAAAAAAAAAGACCTGAAATGAATTTAAACTCGCAAATCAGCGTACCACAGTCTCGTTGTCTGAAGACACAAAACAGGAAGTTAGTGATCTTCTCCCTGTGTAGCGCTTCTTTTCACTTGGGGCAGGTTGCTTTTCTTCAGCGCACAATCGAATTATATAACAGGTACATCTTGCCTTAATCTCACTTCCCCTTAGCTGTATGATCAGTGATTATACCCCGCTGCTATCACCATTAACTACACTGTAATGTTCAGTCCTGTGCCAACAGACGCCTGACTTCCACTTTAGTCATTTTTCTTTAGAAAAGCCCGCCTTCTCCAGTATCTTTTCATTACCACAGCAGCATAACAACATTTCCCCATCCTTAGTTTCCAGTGGAGCCAGAAGCTATAAAAGACTTATTTGGAGTTGATGGATGTGTGCCATGTGGCAGGGTTGGACTCTGGCACTCCGTAATGTTGTTAGTGAGCTGCTCAACCAAGGCATGGGTTACACAATCGAAAGCCGCTGTCTGCTTCCTCTTTCTCCTCCTCCTCCAAGCACTGTGTGCTTTATTTACCTGCATCAACGAATCCACTTGAAGCTATTGCAATCAAATGGTTTGGAAGGACGCCTCACTGAAAGGAGGAAGAAGTGGTTTATTGCAGCCATGGATTCTTGGATGAGGCAGTGCAGTATGAAAGTTTTCAGACCTTGTGGTTGTTGTTCATCTCTGTCTCACTTCCACAGTGCGTCTTTGTCCTGTCTTCCTCCCCTCATGGCAGATGGCTGTCCTTCCCTAAGCCTGGTCCTGTTAGAGGTTTCTTCCTGTTAAAAGGGGGATTTTCATTCCCACTGACACCAAGTTCTTCTTTATAAGGGGGCACAATGTAAAGTGCTTTGAGGCGACTGTTGTGGTGATTTATAAATAAAACTGAACTGTCAAGTTTTCCACATTTTGTCAAGTTCCAATAATCTCAAATTCGATTCTGTCCTCCTGGTGCCAACCAGCATTTTACTGCACAGCTTCTGCTGCTCTTCTTCACAGGTATCTTTAACCTTTGCCCTTTTAAGTTCTCCAAGAGCTTGAATTCGTAAACAATGTAGCCACACATGTTCTAATGATTAGTTTCTACCCAAGCGATTAAAATGTAAACTTTATCATAAATAGCAATACTGCAATGAATTCTTATTCTGTAAAAAAGGGCAACCAAATGGTGCGAGGAAGCAAATAGTCAACTATGAAAAATGAAGTGAATATAATGTCTCCATGTAGTTGGTAAGAATAACTGAATAATTAAATTATAGGTTGATTGGCCTTGTAGAGCCAATCGTCTTCATAAGTCTGGACACCAAAATAGCTGATGTTTATTGTCTTTCCATCAATCGACACCCATGAGATCAAGATGTTTTGATTTTTTTATGCATTCAAAATTCTTATTCAATCTACTTTAAAACAGGTCTGTCTTTTGTTTTATCCCCTATATCAGCACTTTTAAGAATAAATGCTTTAGTCATTCGGACGCATATCATGAGCAGGTATCAGACTAAAAGTGAGCTTATGACATCTGACTCTACTGTGTGCTGAAACTCAGCAAATATTTCCCCCCCTTCCTGGTTTATTCTTTGCATAATTGTCACAGTTACATGTGTCAGACTGTCAAAAAAATATTTAATGTGGGACAATTATAATGACAAAACACACAATGCAGTTTTAAAATCGTGACTTAATAAATTAAGGAATAAAATCTACCCAAACCTATCTGGCTCTGTGTGACAGTGATAGTGTAAACCTAATAATTTGTTTTGCCACTTTTGGCAGCACGGACTGCAATCAAGTGTGTGTGATTACTGGCAATGTCTTTCAAATCACTGTGAAGGAACTTTGGCCGACTTGCCTTTGCAGAGTTTTTTTTTTCTTTTTTCTTAAATCAACCACACTGGAGGGTTTTCAAGAATGAAAGGCTTGTTTAAGGTCAGCATAAGCATCTCAGGTATTCACATGTTTAAATCTCTTCAAAGGTGCTGTACATTCACGCACTGATCCTTAGCACTAAACCCTGATAGGGAATAAATGCAAGAATACAGTGCTAGAAAAATAAAGATCCCAATCTTGATGCCAGACTGGAGGCATCACAACGAAAAACTATCCAGAAAGACAGAAAACAACAGCAAGTCAAGGCAATACTTATAAACATTAGATATAGTGAAAAAAAAACAAAGTCAAAAGTAGTGAACATTCTTGAACATTTATTATTTTTATGAAATGATTTGACATAATCTAAACGACTATCCCTGATAACAGCAGACCAGTGAGACAAAGGTCCCAGGGAGAAACCAATGAGGCCGTCCTCCAAGTTTCTTGAGTTCAAAGTAAAGCTGCAGTCTGTTTATGAAACCTCCTTGAGGCTGCTAAGTTAGGAAAAAGGTCATTGGTGAGGCGGGGCAGATAAACACAATAGCTTTTAGAGTTTACTTAAAATAAACTAGCCACTGTTCACTGCAATGGCAGGAAGTCAATGAAAAGATGTCTTTTTAAAAGGTGTATGAGTATGTTTTGGTTATTTGCCATTATATCTATGTGTTTAGTGAAGAGACCCACTGTTATGATTTTACATTGCTACCTGCGTGACACAAGCCTTACAGGAACAATGCTGACGAAATTCCTAATAATCCCTTTTTCCAGTTATACATTATTAGCTGGAAGAGGAATAGGTGTCTAAATCTACAGACTTCCATCAGAGTAACTGTGGGTGCACATTTTCCACGTCATAATGTGAGCACTTGCACATTCAGTGGAGAGAGGAGAAAAAAAAGAAAAGAAACGAAGTCACAGACAGCATATCAGGAACACGTCTCAAGCGCAGCTCCTACAGTGGCCATGTGTTGATACAAGTCTTAATGTAAAACTCAATGCTTAAAATACAAGTTTGTTTTTCATCTTGGAAAAAAGCCCATAAAAATATCTGAAATGTAACAAAATCTGGCACTGTGCCCTGAATCAAGGGTACAAGCCGGTCATGAAAAACCCCAAGTCAGTCACAGGTTTCAGCTTTAGAACAATTTAGTTTTTATCTACAATAACTCCTTTATACACCCAGGTATAATCAAGTCTGAAACGGAAACATAACATAAAAACATGACTGTAAAATCTTAAAAACAAAATATAAAACGATTAAGTGAAAAAGAAAAAAAAAAACAAACAAAAATAAACACTTTTTCTTAAAAGACTGCCACCAAGGAAGACTCTCCTTTGCTCCGTTTCTAATGCAAGCGAGGCTTCGGTCAAGCTATTCCAACACAGGGCAGCAGACTCAGAATGACCTGTAACAGCGAAGCCAACTTAACATGCCAGGCTGAGGCAGTGACCGAGGAAGCCAAATGGAGTACTTTTGACATCAGGGACAGAATTTTCCAGTCCAGGGGCTCCGACAGAAAAGGGCTGCTGCTGATCGCCTAATCAGTAAGAGGTGCCCAGCTTTGAGCCAGTCCATCTCCATAAAGGTCCTTCAGGAGCGGCTGCGGTCCTCCTGGGTGCCAACCAGCATTTTACTGTACAGCTTCTGCTGCTCTTCTTTAAAGGTATCTTTAACCTTTGCCCTTTTCAGTCCTCCATCCCTATAAAAGAGCGTGAATTAGTAAATAATGTAGCCACACATGTTCTACTGATTAGTTTCTATCCAAGCAATTAAAATGTAAAAAACTTAATCATAAATGGCAATACTGTAAAAATTCTGTAAAAAAATGGCAACCAAATGGTACAAGGAAGCAAATATTCAACTATGAAAACTGAATTAAATATAATAATGTCTCCATGTAATTGGTAAGAATAATTGAATAATTAAATTATAGGTTGATTGGCCTTGTAGATCCAATCAGCTTCATAAGTCTGGACCCAGAAAAAGCTAATGATGTCAAACTCTTCTTCATTTCCCAGAAATCAAACAAACACTGTGGCATCACTGAGAGTAACAACAGTCCAAATTCTTGCAGCGCCAATAAAATGATGAGTGTGGGAGTTCATCCTGGTGTTACAAAAAAAGTTTAGCATCCATGAAAAAGGGGATATATGTTGTTTAACAGGGTAAGAAGTTAGCCAACTATACTCATAAATCATGTTCTGAAAGTTAAAAAAGAAAGAAAGAAAGTGACAGATCTGTTGTCACTCTGGACAAAACAAAACAGTAGCAATGCTCAATCATCCAAGAAAAGAAATCCCCCAAAGTTGATTTTATTTGGATTCTGACTGACGAAATGTTTCTCCCAATGAAAACACCATGTCCAGATGAACAGAATCAACTTTTTGGGAGTAGCAATGTTTGTAGTGTTACTGAAGTTTGGCTAGCTGGCAATGGTGTTCTACCTGGTCGCTACCTACAGAGCTATGGTTAGATTAATACAAATATAATAAACGTTAATGCGAGTGTCTCTGATGGCAGGAAGAAGACGTGGAAAACCGACCGAACTTTAGTTAAGAGAACATTTCAGATAATCCATCTAATGGAAGAATTTCTGATCCTAGGCTTCAGGTCCCCACTGAAATCCTAGTCAGCCTGAGAGTGATTCTTTTCTGATGCGTTAAAATATTTGGTGTCTGGCAAGCTGTGAGCCCATGGACTGTCGATACAGTAGATATAAACTGAGCTTAAAGGCGTGCTGCACATAACCAGTGCTAATAAAAAGCCAGACAAACTGACAACGACCATGGATTATTCTTAGGGGCTTGTTTATGTTAACTAAAAAAAAAGTATCCCAGTACATTAAAAAGACAAGAGTCTAAACAAACGCCACAGGAGGACAGGGAATGATCTGTGTGGGAATATAGTACATGTAACATAATTATGGATGAATTTGGTTAACAGCTCCAACAAGCTCCAACTAGCTCCAACAAGCACACACAACATGATTGTGTATGTGAACGACAGAAGAAACTTTGTAAGGTTTTGCTATTGCTTTTGGTTACACTTGTGCTTTTCTATGATCCAGTGTCTGGTATGAATAGTCACACGGTTTTTCTGTCTTGTCCTTCATTGAGTGTGTATGTGAAAATGAAAGAGTGTTATCTTACCATAAGAGATCGACAAGTCCTCCTTGCCTGGCTATGGCTGCTTTAACACGATTTGCAAACTGTACTGCATCCTCTCCCTCCTGTTGGGAGGACCAACATAAATACAGTTCTGGTAAGTAAGCGGTCATAAACAATCAACAGCTTTTCTGCTAAAATCTTGTCA